TTCCTTGCTTCCCCCACAGGAGGATGCCAGTGGGACGAGGAGCAACCGTCCTTTGTTCCACCCCAAAGCAAACAGGTACAGCCCCCTCCCACGCAGACTTTCTCATGGGTTCGCTCCATGCAGTTCGTGGGATTTTGTTGTGAGTAAGGCCATTGAAGATGCCTTTCAGCTAGTGGTTCCTGCAGCAAGAGAGCAAAGAAGACGGACTGGAAGGCATCGCAAGCTTGTTTTTCCATTGGGAAGGGGGACATCTGCAAATCAGTGAGGGAAGCTGGAGTGGGTAAGGGGGGTAGCAAAGCAGCTGAGGCATCTCTGTTTCCCTCACACCCAGCCCAAACCGCGTGGGGCTGTTTCCCTTGCACACCCCACAGGAAGGCACGGACGGCCTGGTGGGTCCTCACATAATGGCAGACATCAAACCCAGAGCGCAAGGGTGGGGAAAGTGGGATTAAAGTTCGAGAATAAAGGGAGAGGGAGAATGCAACAGAGACAGAAAATAGCACGAGCATGATCCTGGACCACAGAAAAAGCTTGGAGGGGATCCAGGCTAGGAAATGTTGCTGCCGTCAATCCTGGGGAATTGCTGCCAGGCAGTGCAGATGATACTGGATAGATGCATGGTTTGGCTCAGGACAAACAGCTTCCCTGCAAGAATGACACAATCCCTGCAGACCCCAAGAGTGCTGCTCGTGAAGGTGTTCTGCACATGACTTCCTCCTGCGGTAAATCATGTGTGCAAAGTTCTCACACTCTCCACTGACACCAAGGCTTCAGTTTGCTTAGCTGGATTGTGAGATTATACCTTCCTCCTCACCAATCTAAGAGACCTTTTCTTTTTCTTACAGCAAAACTCAGTTCAACCCTATCCTTATCCCTACAGATTTGTTCATTTACAACTCTTCTTTCCTAATCCCTTGAGGCAATACACAACATCATCCTGAACCAAACCAAAGAAAGAAATGAGAATAAACCAACACACTGTTGAACAGAACTCCTGCCAAATTGAATTAGCTTGTGGCAGTGAGCTCTAGAAAGAGGATGGAAATGTCTTGGGGCAAGGAGATCCCAGACCATGATGCCTGTGATAAAAGGAGAGAGATAAACATTGCATGTGACAATCCTGGCACATCTACGAGCTGTCAGTTTCGAGTCACTGAACTAAGCCCAAATAACTCTCTGAGGTCAGCGTCGCAGGCCAATTTTGGGCATTTTGGACAGATTTTGCCTGCCTTCCCCAGACACCCCTTCCAGGGGACCAGCAGAAGTGATGACGCACCATAATTAGCAGGGGCCCTCTCCAAGGAAACACTGAATTTGGAAGCATTCTCCCAACTTGCCCCTTTTGGCCCCTTTTGCGGTCCTGACTCGTGGGTCAGCATCATGGGCCGATTAAGGGCATTTTTGGTGTGCCTTCCCCAGACACCCCTTCCAGGGGTCCAGCAGAAGCACTGATGCATCACGGATATCCAGGGCCCTCTCCAAGCCAACAGTGTGGATTTGGAAGCATTCTGTCAACTTGCCAATTTCGGCCACTTCTGGGGAAACTTTCAGAATGCTTCTGAATTCACAGTGTTTGCTCCGAGAGGGCCCCTGATACCAGCTGTTCATCGGCTCTTCTGCTGGATCCCTGGGAGGGGTGTCTGGGGAATGCAAGCACAATCTGTCCAACATGCCCAAATTCCGATCGTGACGCTGACCCGCGGGGTCAGGGCCCTGAAATGGGGCTGAAATGGGAGGTTGGCGGAATGCTTCAGAATTCAGTGTTTGCTAGGAGAGGGCCCCTGATGCCCGCTGCACGACGGCGCTTCTGCTGGACCCCTGGAAGGGGTATCTGCGGAAGTCAAACAAAATCTGTCCAACATGCCCAAAATTGGGCCGCAACGCTGCCCCGAAAGGGGCCAAAATGGGCAGGGTAGCAGTATGCTGCAAAATTCACAGTGTTTGTTTGGAGAGTGCCCCTGATTCCCTCCGTGCGTTGGTGCTTCTGCCGGACCCCTGGAAGGGGTGTCTGTGGCAGGCAGGCAAAATCTGTCCAACATGCCCAAAATTGGGCCGCGAGGGTCACCCGCAACTCTAGGTTCTCCTTTTTTCTCAAACCAGTGTGATATTTAATTAACTATGCTGCATTACTATTTCAGGCAGATACAGATATCTTTGATATGTTTCACAGAGCATGTTGTGGCTTTGTGTGACTGCATCTCCTGAAAAAATCTGTTTCATGATAGGCATTCTCAATAGATATCGAGAAATATTGTGAACTAAAACGTGTAGAAAACTAGAGATTTTTCCCCTTCTTTGGACTGAAATAGAGTACACCATAAATAGACTCTAGAAATCTGATACTTCAGCTCCCTGCATTCCTGACTATTGGCCATGGAAAGTCTAACATATTGGGCTATACACCTTCTGCCAACCCCTGGTGTGTACACACACTTAGGAGTATTAAAGCTTTTTAGGAATACAGGAAGCTGCTTTATAGCAAGTCAGGGTACATGTTCATCCAGCCAAGTATGATCTATTCTGAGTTCTCTGGGATAAGGTGGCCATAGATTGTATGAAACCAACGGCAGGCCTCTGATGGAATTTCTGTTTGCAGGGCTGCCCAGTCCAAGCTTGTAAAGCAAAAGAACAACAAAGTTTGAGCAGAAATCTGGAAGGTGTCCCTCAACAGCTAGTGACTGGACAGCTGACTAAGCAAAGCACAGAAGCTCCTGGATCATAATTTTACCCACTATAGTGCGATATGCTGCATTTTTGATAAGGGGCACATGTGCTAATTTAATTGGCACCCTCCACTTCTTGCGGGTGAATTGAAAAAACAGCATGGGAAGTAATCTCTGGAGGAAAGACATCTGTTTTCCCAGCAAGCCATGGGTTATTAGAGTGATTCTTCTCTGCAAAAGAATTGCTGGCTCTCAGCCCCAGTGGGGAGTTCTATTGGGAAGGATTTTCTGGTTTATTTTCTAAAAGGTGGTACCAAGCCATGATGATTTTAATAGTATGGAAAGGATTGGGCAAACCCCAAGCCAGCCATGAGGTTGGTGCATTCATCTCTACTCCATCGTCTCCCCTTATGATTGGCACCACCAAGCTATGCATAAACGCAGTTCACAAAAGTGTAAGACACAATTAGGGCTACATGGACACTGTAAAATCCATTCTTTCTGCGGTGCATGGATTGTCAGGCACCTTTCATTCCATCACACATTCTTTGATATCATTGGATTTTGTGCAAATCTACTCCAATATATGTCTGCAAATTTGCACATGCACAAATTAGCATTCTTGAAAATGTGCATCCCCCCTTATATGAATCTCTGACTGGTCAGTGTGTTCATATTATTCCAGTACTTTTCCATTCATGCTGGGTGCCAGTCCAGATCCAGAGCCAATTCAAAGTGTTGGTATTAATGATCAAAGACCTACCTGTAGGCTCTTCTCCTCCCCTATATACCTGTCCAGACCTTAAGAACTTGGTTAGCTGTCCTTATTTAGGAGGCCACACCAAAGGAAGTGAGGTGGATGACTTCTAAGAGAAACACCTTTTGTATTGTGGCACCCTGGTTGTGGAATGAGCTTCCCAAACAGGCTCACCTGGCACCTGTATTGCACCTGAATTGCTGCAATGCACCACCTTTGCATGTTCTCAGGCATTTCAGTCTTTCAGTTTTTGTTGTTTTAAATCCATTTTTGTGTTTAAGTCTTTGTACTGGTTCTAGGTTTTGCTTTGGGTTTCACTTTTATTTTATTGTGTAGTTTTAAACTTTTAAAGGGCATCTTATGTTGTGTTTTATGGTTTTAATTGTTGTGAACTGCTGAGAGAGCTTTGGCTTCTGGGTAGTATAGAAATTTAATAAGTAAATAGAATAGATCGTCAAGGATTTCCAATTCCCAATAGCAGCAACAACATGACCCCCTCCCCTAAAATTAAGTTGTGGAAAGGAAGAAGGTTGGAGTTAACCCAGAGTGGAATTTTATGTGGAAGGATGGTGATCTGCATTTGGATTTGGTACTCAGAACTAATTCCTGGGCCAGAATGTATTTAATTGTCAGCAAGGTTTTTGGGCCAAGTTCTAGCAGGTGGATCTTGAGGTTCCAGTCAAAGGAGGTTGGTAACTCCTGTGTCATTTGGCCGCCTCATCTATCTTAACCTTTCTTTTCGGCTTTATAGGAACTCTCCATGGTGATGAACCTATTTTGGGGGGTGGAGTTCAGCACCATGGACGGCTCCAGTTTAAAAAGCAGATGCTGCAAACCTGGGTTTTGTTCTCCCACGGTGTGCAAAGAAACATTTCTTCATGCACTGCTGTGTTTCCTTCTGTGTGATGAGCTGCACCTTCAGAACGACTCTTTTCTGCTCATCCAGCAAAGCTGCAGCAGTCCTGTCCTCTTTTACATCTTGTCATCACCAGCATTCTCTCAGCAGGAGTTCCAATAAATCCTAACATATATTAGCAGATTAACCTATCTTGGACATGTCGCATTATTTTTTACAAGGAAATATGTGTGCATACCTTTTAACACCCCAATTCATCAACACACACACAGATAGAGACAGAGAGACAGAATAACAGCAACCCACTGAGAACAACATGAATCAAAATGCTGGAAATAAAATCTGAGCAGATTTCAAATGAATTGGCAAGATCTTCTGCCCCCTTTAGCTTGAGGACTAAATCACCCTTTATGTCACCAAGCACTTAGCATATTCTTTTTTCCCCCCATTCCCGAGAAGGTTAATTTTAGATACAACAAGAAAAACTGTTCTCTTGGTGAGAGAGTGGATGCAATATATGGAAAAAGCTGCAGCTGATGCACTGTCCTTTCTGCAACATGCTTATTAATAGGGGATGTTGTTTAGATGCCATTGCTTCCCCTGCATTTCAGGATGAAACCTGGAGCAGTTTTTGTGCTGTGAAGTTGAAAAAGATGGACCTACTGTTTGACTGTCATAAGCATTGCAACCCAGCTTCTTCCCACCTTAAAAATGGAGGTGACAGACATACCAGCATCTGGGCATCATTTCAGGTGGCATTCTTGGTTTTCACTTCATGCTTCGACTCTGCTGCCCACTAAAGTCTGTCTGTCAGTGCATCCGTTTCACACTCAGCTTAGTAAGTGACCATCCTGCAAATGTTCAAAAAAGGAACTCAGAGCTCCTCTGGATATTGAGGTGCGGGCATTATATGACCTCTTAGCACCTTCCAGTGAGTGTCCTGCACACATAGACCTTCCCAATTCTAGATCCAGTATATAGACACTTATTGCATGGGAACTGAAGAAACGCATGTGTTTACAAATCAGTGAAATATCTCTCCCCATCCTCAAAGTGGGGCATTGTCTATATCTGTTTAGTAGATGTTCTGCCAGGGCTGGCCTTGAAGCAGTTGCTTCAGGCAGCACATGGATCATAAAAGGGTTTTGGAGGAGAGGGTCATGAGCTGCATGGCTTGATCTGCACTCTGTACTTGCTGCCTTCAGGTGTGGTGGACCATGTTGTCCCATCGCCAGTGTCAAAGTACACATCAGCTTCCTGTCCAGTATGAAAGACAGTAGCAATCACATACCCTTGTATCACATACTGACATAGAGGAAGGGTATTTACTTCACTAACTACTCCTGATGAACTGATTTGGCAAGTTGCAGATGTAACGTGCTAAGTATTTTTAGTTGGTTCATGACTGCATGTCCCCACGCATTTCTTTCTGAAATCAGTGCCTTTCCAGCAAAAGCCAGATACCCCACCAGGGGGCAGAATGAGACAAGTATTCACTGAAAGTGATAGCTGAGAAAAAGGGGGAAAGTAAAATACATACTCCAAAATCCCTGCAGCTGGCTAAACCAGTGGAGCTACATGAGGACTTTTTTTTTCTTTTTTGAAACAGTAGTTTTGTCTGATAATTAATTATTTTGCCTACTTTTGAATCAACCCATCTATGTTACTGAGACATTTTTGTAAGCTATAATTTAAAGAAGTGATGAAAATGTTGAGTTTGCATGTTAAGTCTGGATCTTTCTTGGCTGTAACACTAACCATCTTGGCCTGCAAAATGTTTTCATCCAGTCTAAGCTCTGTTTTGTTGTTACAATATATTTGGAACCAAGTAACTTGGTCATTTCCCCTTTGATCTATCCTTCTTGGGAGACCATTTTAAATAATGTGCTAATGTGCTAATGTGTAGGGGCATTTCAGTAGAGACCAAGAGCAAGCCAGGCAAATGTGCTAATAAGAGTTCAATTTGTCATTTTCATTCCTGCTTCTCTCTCTCTCATGCATCTTTAAAAATAAATTTGATAAAGCAGAGGGGAATGGAGAATGAATGAGCAGTGCCACAGCCAGGAATGTTAAACTCACAGCAATGGAACCTTTTAGATGGCCATATGCCTGTTGTGAATGTCACTATTTACATTTCTCATCCCTGCCCCCATTTCATCTTTTAAAACTGCTTCAACATACCCAACGCATTAGAGGAATGCAGTAGCAAAAAACAAACAAAATCTGTTTGCCCACTCTGATTACAACGAAATGGTGGTGGTTGTGGGGTGAGAAATGCTCTCAAGTGCAGTTTGATATTGGAAACTCATTGAAATCACAGCCCCATCATGACTATGAGAGTTTATCAGCCCAGGGGCTGACCTGTTTGCCCTATCACCTGCCATTCTTTAGGGGGTTATTTGTGTTGGATTGTTGGATTTCAGCCCTGAGGTTTAGCCCCAGTTGCACAACTGGGAGAGAGAGAAGGCTGGGAACAAGCAGGCTTGGGAGAGCTTTAATTTCTTTTTGGAAGTACAAGAAGATATTCTTCTTCTATAATACAACACAATCCTTTCTGTGTTTCATTCCTTATTTAGCTCTGTACATATGTTTACAAGAGTTATCAGCCTACAGCCATTTTTATTATCCCACTTGTCAACAAAACCTGTTAAGATACAGGGCACACCAACAGCCTGGAAGGAAAATACATGACACTGGAACAACCAGGACACCCACAGGAAATTATGATGGGGGGCGCAGCCACAGCAGTCTGTGGCTATAATTTGCATGCATAGCACACACAAACACAGCGTACCATACCTGTACAGCTTTCTGGTGTGTACACACTTGACTTTTCACTGTGTGCAATTACCCAGTTTATTTCAGTAACAGTGCAGCTTCTACACTGTTGGAATTTTGAAGTGCATTTTGAATATTCTTCTGGAACTGCATATTTTAACTTGAACTGCACATTTTGTATAGAGTTGCACAATTTAAAAAAGGCCCTGATAGCATCAGAAGATTTCTGGTAGGTCTGGTGACAATACAGACTGTGTTTTCACACCCACACCAAAAAACCCACAGTTCCTGCCATGATTCCCTTCATCTCCCGTGGCCCTTTGGGCCAAAGGCCATTACAGGGTTGAAGGGCATGGTTAGTATCAAAGGGCAGGGTTGAAGGCTGCCGGTGAGGGAAAAGGTGGAAATTGCTTCGTTTGCAGTCCACTGCTACATTCTGCATGCACAATAGATTTGGGTGCCTTCACAAGAACTTTCTTTACTTCTCCTCCACGCATGTGTGGAGCTGTGTGACATGCTGTCTCAGCCCCAAGGCCAGCAGTAAGCGGGGAGTGTTCGTATGGGCCTCCTGCAATAACAATGAAGTGGTGGGTTCTCTCTCAGTCTCATAGTTCCCTCTCCATTTCCCCAGAAACCAACAACAGTGGCTTATGCTGCATAGTTGCAGTTCTAACACACCCCTTCACAAACTGGGAAAGCCTACTTTGCAGGACTGGTGTGACCCACACTTCAGCAGCCACCGTCCTTCAGATGTAGGGGCATTTCACTAGAGACCAAGAGCAAGCCAGTCACAGAATTCATTCCTTATCACTATATATGGGTGTGAAAATGGACAGTGAAGAAAACTCACAGGAAGAAAGTTGATGTGTTTGAAACATTGTGCTAGAGAATTTTGTGGATACCCTGAGCTGACGGAAAGACAAAAAAATGGGTCCTAGGTCAAATCAAGCCAAAGCTTCCCCTGGAAGCAAAAATGACAAAACGGGGGCTGACATACTTTGGATGCATCATAAGAAGGCAAGAGTCACTAAAGAATACAATCATGCTAGGGAAAATTGAGGGCAGAAGAAGAAAAGGAAGACCAAATAAGAGATGGATTGTCTCCATAAAGGAAGCCACAGCTTTCAACTTGGAAGAGCTGAGTGCCATTTGCATGGATAGAACATTTTGGAGGACTTTTCATTCAGAGGGTAGCCGTAGATCAGAGATGACAACACATAGCAACCACAGAATCTCTTTATGTGACAGGGATCTTTCTTTTTCCCTTCTGTTCTCTTTCAGTACTTTCCCAGCCTTTGTGGGTGAAAGCCTAGGATTGATTGATTGATTGCATTTATATACCGCCCCAATAGCCCAGAGGGTTATCTGGGTGGTTTACAAACATTAAAACCCCACCAATCCTAAAACAAATAAATTGGCTACACCACGAGTGAAAAGCACCACGATTTTAAGGTGCTTTTGCATACAAACATTAAAAGTCCAGTCATATGCATGTTTATGGGGTGTGTGTGGTGTTAAGCCACAGAAGCTAATGTATAGAATGAGTGCATCTGAGTTTATAAGGCTGGGATTGGCCTTACACATACTATCTTCCCTCCACTTTCCGGAGAAGCACCATTCCTGTGTTCTCCTCCGTCTCACCACACCTGAGGCCTGGAAAACAACTGATTAACTTTAAAGCAAACTGAGCCAGGGGCTGAAGTCCAGCGGAACAGGACTGGAAGTCTGTGGTTTGCGTAGCCACAGTCAGTGGCAACATTATTTGCCTCAAGAGCCAGGCACTCCCACGGGCTACCAAAGCAAGGGCCTAACGGTTTGTAGCACTGCCCCATTGCCCTTTGGGCTTCCAATTCCTCCCTCAACAGGCACCCAGCACAGCCCAGCCACCGGTTCCCTCTATGAGATTTGTTGTGAATACTTTCTGTGCCACTGCAGCATCTGGGCCTTCTGCAAGGCTGCTAAGATCTTTCTCATTGTCTCTCATAGGCTCTCTTTGGACTCCCACAATCCAGCCATGTTCACCAGCTGAGTTTGCCATCACCCAGTCTGTGTACTCCATCTGTCTGTGGTCTGTTGGCCAGTTTAGGTAACATGTGCCCTCTAGAGCTTTTAGCATACAACTCCCATGATTCTCTCTATTGCCAGTGCTGACTAAGACTGATGGGAGTTTTGGACAAAAACACTTGGAGATCCACAAGTTGTCTGCCCAGAATTATATAGTATATGAAGATATAAAAATCAGGACTGTGATGTAAAGAAATGAGACTGCAGTGGTCATTGCAGGGAGCCTGAATGGATTGGATTGTCCAGTTCAGACAAAACTGCTAAGTACGATTCTCTAATATGAACAGGGCATCAAGCTAGAGAGAGTCTGAGCAGTAGGCAAAGTCATGGTAGGAGCTTCCCTTATGGGTCAGTCAGCAAAGGCTGGGTGATGCCGTGCCGTATGAATGACCGCAGCTTATCGCTGGTGTCTCACCTCAGGATTTACAGAGATGAACTGAAGCTCTCCCAGATGCAGTACTTGACGACACCCAGTCTCTCATTTTTGCATTTTTTCTTTGTGATGATGTGACCTGAATCTAAGACTTACTTCCCAGAATATAAGGAAACACACACACACACACACACACACACACACACACACACAGAGAGAGAGAGAGAGAGAGAGAGAGAGAGAGAGAGAGAGAGAATTGATCCCTTTTTTTAAGAATCTTTAGACCTAAGCCACATGTCTTGCCTCACCTTCGATTCTTTCTCAAAAAGAATCTGCCAACCGAGTCCCGTTTACATCAGCCTTAGATGGTGATGCAAGGAATGTAGACTCCAAATATGCCTTCATGTGGGCAGTGATCTTGACAGGCTGCTATGTTTCATGACTCTTGCCGTGACATATATTCTGCATTCTCTCTGCTTTTGCACTTTCCCTCTTCTGTGAGGTAATTTCCCAAAAGGCTGGTGTACCTCCCCTGCTTTCATTTAAGAGTTTTACAGAATTCTGCAAAGGAAAATAGCTGGATTGTGGTTTGTTTCATTCACTCTCCATGGCTTGCAAAGGGGGAAAAACCTAACTGCAGGTAACGGATGATTAAAAGCAGAGGTTAATCTTCAGTTGTGATATCAAATATTTACACAAGGATTATTAATATTGATATTTCTGATTTCATCTTCCTACTTAGTTGGGCTTAGTGCTTTTTGGAAACAATACTCCATGTTGCATTTACTCTCCATCATGAAAAATGTAAATGCAGGGTGAATAAAAGGAACTGCCCATAAAAGTTTAATCACCGGCATTGCTCATACAAGTGAAATGCAGGCACTTTAAAATAAAATTCCTCTGTATATGCCCTGTGCACAAATAGGTATGTTCTAGAAAAAGCTCCATTGCAGTCCCACTGATTTTAATTGGAAAGCGCTACACGTGTGTTTCATGCTCCCATTTAAGTTACTTCGATTGAGGAACTTTACCTTTAGCTGGACTGAACCTCTTGCAAAGTTTAGACTGGTGACCCTCAGCACTTCCTCAAATAAAGCAACCAATGAACTTTGGTTAAGATTCAGCCAATGTTGAATTCTTTATTATTTATTGTATTTCTATCCTGCCTTTTTTCCTTATGGGGAAATCAAGGCAGCTTACACAATTTCCCTCCTCAATCTTATCCACACAACAGCAACCCTGCGAGGTAGGCTGGGCTGGGACTCCGTGATCCAGAGACACCCTGGGAAGCTCCATGGCTGAATGGGGATTAGAACCCAGTCCTGCACTCTTAACTGCTATACCACACTGGCTTTAAATACCCATTAGTTTACCTGGGAGAGTTGGGCATGTGTCTAAAGGACCTCCATTGTAACGAATTCTGCTTCCCTCCAGCCAGATCATATCTGAGTTCACACCCTTGTCCCTTTCTACTCAACCTGGCAAAGCAGCAATGACAGAGCAAAGGGATCACCTGTATTCCAAGGATAAAGCTAAAAGCTAGAGCTGGGTGGATCCCAGGGTCAATTTCTTGTGCTGTGTATATTGTTAAGTTGCACACATACGCCCCAAATGTGAAAAATAGGAAACTGTGTTTGTAATTGAGCATTCTTTTTCTAAAGACACGATCAAGACCTCATGAAAGTGAAGATAGCATTAAAATAGGTGCACTGTGCTTATTGAAAGCTCAGAAGCAAAGTGAGGAGGGGTGCAAGTTAAGGGCATTAAAGCTTCCCCTGCATGCAGAAAGATCCAGCTCCACTAGCAGGCATCCCTAGCTAGTGCTAAGCGATGGGCCAGTACCTCCCAAGCAGTGCAGCTTGCAGTGACCCTAAAAGGTGAGCTCTGTATGATTCTCATGCTCAGCACAAACTTCCCTTGCTCTTTGGTGCATTTAAACAGAATAATTTATGGGAAGATAACTTTTTAAGTTTTTTTCTCAAACCGATGACTCAACTGGGTTGGGCAACCTTCTGGGCCTGACCAAAAAAATGTGAATTTCCCATGGACAGTCCTGCACTTTTTAGGGAAATTTGCACATTTTTGGAAGTGTACATTTGTGCATCAGTGCACTTTTCAATATGAATGCAAGTTCAGGAAAAATGCAATTGCATCAATGCATAGGTGGTGGCAAGAAAAATGCCTAACCTTCTGCAAAAGAAAGATGGATTGGAGTTAACAAATTCCATGTATCCTGGCTTCCCCCAGATCTCAGCACCCTGCAAACTCCCTGAGATCAGGAAATGGGACCTGTAGAAGGTGGGGGAGGTCAATCTAGCAACGCCTAAGCTGAAAATTTGACTGCCTGGGTTCATTGATGGGGGAGGGAGAGTTAAAACTTCTGGCTTCACAGGACTCCCGAGCCAGATTACTGTTTCCCCACAGCAGGGCAAAAGGAACCTCAGCTGCTTTAAGATGCCAGTGTAGAGTGCCCCAGGCTGGTCCGTATAAACCAGTGTTCTTCTTTACTGGGGGTTGTCAGTAATTTCTGAAACCAGTTCCTGGTGAAGTATTCTTTTTCCCTTATCTGTAAAACATGGGGATACCTTTAAAAAAGTTCTGCTCTTTGTATGAATTGTTAAAGATCACTGAGTTGCTGAAGAATTGCTCCTGGGGCAAAAAGGCTGGGTGTATCATATCTTTAGTACCTACCCAAAACTGCTGCATGCCCGGGAAATTATAGTTACCGGGATTGTCATTTCACATGCTCAGGAGTCTACATTTGTCACCGAAGTTACTTGACTGTAGAGCAATTATGTGAGCCTAACATTATTTTTAACTTAAAGAGCAAGTGTCTTCATCTTGGCTTTTAAAATGGAGCAAGACAGGCTGTTGCAGCCACGTCAAGAAAGACAGCATGAGACAGATGGAGTACAGCCACAGCCTTTAGCAATGTGCTATAGGAATGAGGCTCAGATAATAATCCTTGGGGTGAGAATCGGGATGTTTTACCAGCATCTCTCTCTCTCTTTCAGGTGTGGAATGCAGAAGGGCATGCCACCCTGATTTTGCTGCGTTTTATTATAGACAAATTTGGGGATTGAGCAAAAATGTCAGGGAAGTGAGAGTCAGCCAAAAAAGAGGGGGAAACTGGAAAGTTCACTTTTCTTTAAAGACAGTTTGCTTGGTAAAATTTCCATAAAGGTAATAGATTTGAGTATGCACCATTTCACCACAGGGGCACAGTTGAATTCTACAGGCACTGTCAAGAATTTAGCCCAGCACGTAATACGTGCCAGTTGATGCTGTAAATGCCATTTCTCTCATGCGCTCCATGTCCACTCCCAGCAAATACCAGCACGGTTGTTGTGCGGGCATGGCCATTTTCACAAGCATGGCACAATCAAGCACTGTGAATCTAAAATTAAATGTTATCCAGGTTTGTCAAGCTAAGCTGGAAAGGTGTGTGCCTGGGGGTACTTTTTGCAAACATGGTTTAGCAGCGTTGAAAAGTAGGCCTTTCAGTTATGGTTCAGCACTGCCTCTAAAGGAATTGAGCATGTCTACTCACTATGTCCTTAGAAGCGGATGCTTTGCTGCAGCAATCTCTTAGACTGAGCCCAAGGTTTTATCTTGGACTGGAGTAAAAGGTAAAGGTTCCCCTGCACATGTGTGCTGGTTGTGCCCGACTCTGGGGCCGGTGCTCATTTCCGTTTGTAAGCTGAAGAGCCAGCATTGTCCGAGGAGACTTCCATGGTCCCATGGCCGGCATGACTAAACTTTAGAGGTACCTATTTATCTACTCCCCTTTGCATGCTGTTGAATTGCTAGGTAGGCAGAGGTGGGACAAAGCAACTGGTGCTCACATGGATTTGAACTGTTGACCTTCTGATCAACAGCCTAGTCTCCCAACGGTTTAACCTGCATCCCTACTAGAATAGCTGCTGGAGTAGCTTTTGTTAAATTATGAGGGCAGTAAGATGCTTTTCTGATTAAACGGAAATGAAGCATTAACTGGATTATATAATCTTGGGGAAGGGGTTAAGGGAAAAAAAGAATTGTGCGTGTGAGAGAGGGAGGGGGAGGAGGAGAGAGAGAGCGGGAGAGAGAGAGACCTTCCACCAACCTGAAATGCCCAATAAGAATATAGCATATTCGGTGGGAACAGCTGGCTAGCTTTTGGGGGCAGTGGTGGAAAACAAATGGGGAGGTGGAATGCAAGAAGGCATGGCTGCCTGGAACACTAAACAGTGCTTCACACAGCATCATTTGGCTATCGGTTGCAATTATTCCAGTTTTCATAGATTATAGATGTGTGCCTATATGTGTGTGGTGCTTCTTCCCACTGGGGTTGGTTCAAATATTTGTTCTTTGAGAGCAAAATACTGTATATACCTCTTCAGAGGTAATTTCCATTGAATTCAATGGACATTACTTCCAGACTGACTTTTCTGGCAAGAGCATTCCATGATTAGATGCAAGCAATAGTCTTGTTCACTGTCCTAAAATACGTGATCACAACTGTGTGGAGTGACCAGGACTGGGGCTCATGACCCTCCCTGCTATCCTTGCATTGCAAACATTGAAGAAAGCATCCTTCTCTACCCCCTGAGTCGGAGCCTGGTCCATCAGGGCTGTGGTTCAGAATGCCTCCAGAGGGCCACTGAGATAGTTGCCCACTGTGGTCGGTCCCAGTCTGTCCCAGATTGTCACTCACCATATTTTGCTCTTGCTATCAGAAGGCTATAAAAGATAGGAATAAGTCAACATTCTCAGTGACCGCCCCCTGCATATGAAAAGTGTAGTGATCTTTGCTACGCTAGAGGGTATGAGGTTAAATATTCTTATCCATGGCCTGGAAATGTGGCTTTCACTTCATTAATCAATTAGAAGCCATCTGCTACAAAAGGAGGCAGTTACATCAGATCAAGTTATTTCCTTTGGTATCTGCCAACTCCCCATTTTAAGATGTGTACAGAAATAATGCTCTGTTAAATTCAATCATTTTGATGGTCATGCTTTTGTCGTTTTCGATTGCATGTTTATTTTAGGGCATTCTTTTCATGAGGTGCCAAGGAGAATTTTAGAACTAGTGCATGAAAGGCAAGCACAGTGCTGAGGTCAAGATCTGTGTGATTTCCCCCCACCCACCTAGTCGACATCTTTTTAATGCTTATTTTTATCCATGTTCCTCTTCCATGGTTATTTTAGGGCCAAACAAGATTTGATGGCAAAAGAACCATGTTCAGATTTATTAGAATAATTACAGGGATTTCTTAACATTGTGGCAAAATTTTTCTGTACAGTGCCATCAAGTAACTCACCATAAGACAGTGGGACTTAGATCTTGCAATGAAATTTAGGATTATGGCATTAATAAAGTATCTTCAACAAATCTTAAAATGCCTGGGCTAATAAAAAGACCTTCAGTTGGTGCCCAAAGCACAGGTATGAAGCAGGCCATTTTGGGGAGACAGTACGTTCCACAATCTGGGCATCATTGCTAAAAAGTAGAAAAGATGAGGGAGATTAAAATACATGCAAAACTGTCTTTCCTAACAAACTTCTAAGGCACAATCCTATGCAAACTTAGACAGAGACATGCTAAACATGCACAGGACAGCACTGTAAAACTTATTTCACTGTTTTAACAATATAACATTAATCATTTAAACAATTTAGCCTATACAATTGCATACTGTCTGCCATATAACTTTTCTCAGAGCTGGTACCCCCTCTGTTTAGGAGGGGGCTGATCACTCCTGTGTCAGTGGAGCCCTTCATCCATCACTTTGAACATCATAGGAACTATCCATGGTCCTGAAATGCATCTCAAAAATAGATTCGTCATCATGGAGCTTCATGATGAGCTTCTATGAAGCTTCTATGAAACTCAGTGGATGAGTGGCCCCACTGAGTCACCAGCCTTCTCTAAGTATCTGTAAACTGGGTGAAAATAACCAGGACCAGACCAGCAGCCGTACATAAGCAATGGACAAATTCCTCCCATGAAGGTGGTGGCATCTTTGAGATGCAGAAGTACACCTTGAATTGACTGCTGTGTATGCCTGCAGAAACCTCTTCCATATATTTTTCACTACAGCTCACATCAGACCTAGCCAGTATGGTCCATCGACAGGGATGATGGGAGTTGTAGTCCAAAACACCTGGAGAGCATATGACAACAATTCAGGCTTTTCATTTCTAACTGTAACACTTTGCTCTACCTAGGTGAAAACCCCTTGCTCCACCTCCCCATGTACCTTCTGCAGGTCTGGGCAGTGCATGGCTTGCAAGCACATGCTGACCATGTCCTCTACAGTGACCTTTTCTGCTGCTGTGGCCGTGGCAAAACATGGCTGAATTTCAATGGCAAACCATGATGGTGGTCTAAAGGGACCAGCTTTCCTTTAAAAACAAAGTGCATTTGTTTAGACCACTGCTGCATTTTGCTGATTGTTTTCCTGCTTCAGTGGTGTATGATGCCAGGAGAATAGGTCATTGGAGGTTCTGCAGGGGGTGGAATAGGTCCCTGAAGACTCCAGAGTTGCCCATCTTTGATGTAGTGCTTAAGCACATCTGCTCAGAAGTACTTCTGAGTTCAAAGACATTTTTTCCACTGTGAGTGTTCAGAATTGGCGTGATTGTTGTTTTCCCTTGCTGCAAGTCCCTGAAATGTTCTGCACCATCAGCTCCGTCCTTATTCAAAGAGGCTGCCTGGTCAGTGGCACCCTGCCAAGTATGGAATAAGAAAAAAGGAGCGCTTCCGAAGTTTTATCAAGGGAGGAATTTTGGAAAGCGGTCTGGCCAGGGAAGGCTTGGAGTCCTCAGTGATGCTCCTCCTCCACTTTCTCTTGGAAATGTGAAGGTTTACGCTCAAGGAGTCTACTCTAGATTTTAGAAAATCACATCACCCATCTGGGTCTTCTATTATTTCAATTCATTAGCAAAGTAATGAACTAGAACCAAAATCAACTGTCAATAAAATATTGTGAGGGAGGAGCTAATTGCCAAAAATCATGAACAGCGCAATCCTATGTATGTTATTTTGGAAGTAAGTCCCACTGTGTTCAGTGCATCTTCCTCCTTCACAGGTGTGTTTGGGACTGTAGTCATTTTATGCCCGGTTAAGGAAAAGTGTTCCTACCTGCAGAGGAACTCAAGCCTATGTAATGCAAATTGCACTTGCTATGCAAGTGATTGCCAGGGGTGTGGAATCTATGGCACTCTTGGACTCTGATTTCCATCAGCTTTAGTCACCATAGAGAATGATTAGGGATTATGGGAGTTGGAATCTATCTATTGCTGGAGCACCACAGGTTCCCAACTTCATTCAGTGCCTCTGACATACACTGGGAAGTACTCTTTGAACAAAAATGACTCAGCTGATGTATAATATAGTCCATAATATGCGGAGGCTCAGGTCTGCTGCTACCCTGTGAGACAGAAAAAAAAGAAGGTATTATGGCTCGCCACTTAGGCTGTCAGCTTTTCCACCACCCTGCTGCTCTTGTACCCTTAACAGAAACTAGAACTGCAGACATTAGCAGGCATTTAATTTCTCTTTGCTATGAAAAATGTTACCTTCTGATTTCAGCCCAGCAAACTGCTATTGAAGGCACAAGAGAAGGCTTGGGAGGATTTTCTAGTCAGCTGCTAGGCACAAAATGCTCCTTTAAGCACTGAGCTTAGTGTTGCTTTTGTAAAAAAAAAATCCAGATAATTATAATATTGGGTCCTATAAATGTACATGGAGTGGGTATGATTGGCCTGCAATCAGACTGGCTTTTGATGGATGCTGGTGAACAATGTTGATAGAAATTCACTTCATTTCCCCCTTTTTCCTATGGTGGCACTGTTGACCCCCTGAAAAAGCTACCTGGAAATTTGAAGGGGGGACCTGTGATGTGTTGGGGGGAAGAGAACTCCACACAGTGGGCAGAGGGGACCTTCTGCAAACATGGGCATTCCTCTCCAGGAAAATCCTTTCCTCTCTTGGAAGGCAGATCCTGGTCCTGTGCTTCTGTATTTCCCTGAAAAACAGCATTGATGCTGAGTTTGGAGATTAAAGAGTAACAGATCTTTTGGGGGTGGGGGGAGGGTAAGAAAGAAATGATCATCATCATCATCATCTATAAGAACATTTCTGCAAGATCACAACATCTGTTCACCCTGTATGAGTCTTTTAGCAGGAGGTTTTCAGGATGAGTCTTAGAATTAAAAACATCTTCCAGGCCTCATTCCTAATGAGTTCTGGCAAATATATTGCTGCCAGTTTTTGTCTTTTCGAGGAGAAATGATAATTTTAAAGAAACACCTAATACTGTATAGTGCAGCACAGCCCTGGTTTTTCACTGGGCAACCAAGCAGAAACAGAGCACTTGAAATATAATGCACATATTATGTTCCATATGAATTTAGTATGCACATTCCGAAGTTGTTAAAAGCCCTGAAAGTGGCATTCTCACTGAGTCATTCAAGGCTGGCTTAGCAATTTTCCATGCTCTCTGTTTTATTGGGTTTACTGAAGGGGCTTTTTCCCCTTACAGAGAGAAAACAGGAAGGATTTCATACAAAGCCGCCAAGCTGAAGGATAGCTCAGTGAAAATGAGGGCCCAGAGTGCAACTGGCAGTTTCCATGCTGGGAATCATTAGGAAAGGAATTGAAAATAAAACTGCCAATATCATCATGCCCTTATACAAAGCTATGACGTGACCATGCTCTGAATACTTGGCACAGCCCTGGACACTGAACTATAAAAAGAACTGGAAGGAAGGTTCAGAAAAGGGCAATTGAATTGATCGAGGACAGAAGAACAGCCTTGTGGGGATAGGTTGAACCAAACAGGTTTGCTTAAAAAAGGTAAATAGGGGGAACGTAAACTAGGTCTGATGTGAAAAAAGTGGATAGGGAGATGTAGGGCTACAGGGATGATGGCCAGATTGCAGGGAAAGCCGTATGAGGCGAGACTGAGGGAACTGGGTCTCTTCAGCCTGGAGAAGAGGAGATTCCAAGGGGATCTGTTGGCGACATACAAGTATGTGAGGGGGTGTTTTCGCCTGCAGAGGAGAGCAGAACACACTCCAACGGAGCAAAGCTGAGGGAACCAAGGTTCCATTTGGATGCCAGGAAGCACTTCCTGACACTCAGGACCCCGAGGGTATGGAATGGGCTTCTATGGGAGGTGATTGAGGCCCTGTCGGTGAGGGTGTTCAAGGATAGCCTGGACATACACATGGTAGGCATGTCATGAGTGGAGCTGGCTGGAGCCTGGGGGTCAGACTAGCTGGACTCACTCTGTTTCTATGTTCTTGTCTCTCTCTCATAACACTAGAATTTAGGTTCACCTTGGTGGGAGATTCACAAAAGACCCAAGGAAGTACTTTACTCATTCAGTGCATAATTCAACTGTGGAAATCACTACTACAGGTTGTAGTGATGGTTACCATCTTGGATGGCTTTAAAAGGGGTGTAGACAAAGGGATAAGGTAGTCAATAGCTACTAGTCATAGATATGCTACCTCTCGTGTTAAAGGCACAACGCCTCCCATTATGAGTTAATAGGAGAGATCCTGACACATTTGGCTGAATGAACGAGCAAACCTTCCTCAAGATTTACAGCGAGTTGCAGTGAAGATGCGAATTGTGTTCCTCTGAAGGCACTTAGGCTTGTTCTTCAGAGCTGATTTGTGAGTGCAGGTGGTGGCACATGAGCATTGCTGGCACGCCCGCCATCGCATCTCCTCCAGCCTTTGCACCGTCTTTCACTGCCAGCCTAGAGCTACGGGGAGCTCCCGGACCTTCAATAGTATCGCTGAGGTTTGTTGCCCTACAAGCTGAAAATGTTCACTAAGCAATCTTCTCCTCTTTTTAGCTAATAGTGATTATATTGTGATTCATGTGATTCAATTACAATATTTTAATAATATTCCAATATTTTAATTATTATAATTACGATACTTTAATAATTATTTCCATCCTATCTTTCCATAAAAATTGTGCTCAAGGCTTTTGAAAACATTATATCCCATTATGATCTTTTAATAATATTCCATTTTTAAGTGTTAAGTTTGAAACGAAAAACAAATGAAAGCATTTGCTGAATATTTCAGCAGTCAGACAGTTTCTAAATACAGCAGGATTCCCACATATCACCAGACTGCCCACAAAGAATTTCACAAGTGCACAACAGAGTGTGGAATCATTTCTTAATATGAAAAAGATCCATTTTTTTTTCTGTCACTTTCAACTTTATCACTTCAGTGGGTTGAAGCGAGGATAAAAATGGACAGGAAACCATGTGCACCCTCTGGAACTCCTTGGAGGACATGCAGGATATAAATCTATTAAGGATTTAAAAAAAACAGATAGACTGACCTATGGGCTGGAAGGATATTTTTGTGCTTGTGAAAGGAATTAAGATGCTAGAAGGGCACATGCATTGCACTAAGCCTTTCTGTCAGAGGACAGTCCTTTATTTGAAGAAATGCCCAGTTCAAAAGCTAATTAATCCTGTGAAGGAAGAGCCTGATGATGGGGCCAAGTGGCATCACCTGGACAGGACACTGCACAGGCAACTGTCACCTGGTCATAGTTTTTCTCATCATAATGAGGTGTACCACATTCTTCCTAAATTTTCATCTATGCCTAACACTTAAGGAATGCATGTTTTACCCAAATCTGTATCAATTTTTTGCTCCCTCCCTCCCCCCCTCCCCCCCCCCCCCTCTCTCTCTCTCTCTCTCTCTCTCTCTCTCTCTCTCTCTCTCTCTCTCGTAATTCCCAAGTAGCCGCCATGATGACTTGGCGAAGCACTGTGGCTGGTAAAGGACCACTTCCTCAGCACAGAACCTAGGCAGCCATTTTGGGCAGTTTGGGAAATTGGAGAAACTGTCCTCAGCATCACCACAAAATTACCACCATGGGAGGCAAGGCAGAGTGACCTGCCTAAATGACGGATACAAGGCAGAGAGGGGTGTGTGTGTGTGTTGTGTGTGTGTGTGTAGGGGTCTGAATCCCAACACACTAATGACAGCCCCAACAGACCTATTTTGCAGCAATCCTGATTGCCAGGAAGAGAATGTTTTAATTGAGAAAAAAGTAGGAGGAGTACAGCACCTTGTGGTTGTTAGTCGTGAAATCGTATCCGACCCATCGCGACCCCATGGACAACATTCCTCCAGGCCTTCCTGTCCTCCACCATCCCCTGGAATCCACTTAGGCTCACGCCAACTGCTTCAGGGACTCCATCTAGTCACCTCATCCTCTGCCGTCCCCTTCTTCTTTTGCCATCTATTGTTCCCAGTATTAGGCTCTTCTCCAGGGAGTCCTTCCTTCTCATTAGGTGGCCAAAGTATTTGAGTTTCATCTTCAGCATCTGGCCTTCTAAAGAGCAGTCAGGGTTGACCTCCTCTAGGACTGACCGGTTTGATCGCCTTGCAGTCCAAGGGACTCACAGGAGTCTCCTCCAGCACCACAATTCAAAGGCCTCAATCCTTTTGTGCTCAGCCTTCCTTATGGTCCAGCTTTCACAGCCATACATTGCAACTGGA